CTTTGTAAACAAGTCCCCTGCCTCTGAGATGCCAGCAAGAGCAGAATCCTAAGTTATCACTATCAGCCCACAACAGCCCAGTCCCTCACTGGCTCTGACCATCCCTTTGGATTTTTTTCTTACTTCTCTGACTCTTCTGCGTCTCCCCCTCTGCATTCATCAGGCATTTGCAAGTAATGAATGGCTCATGTGGGACATTTTATAGCACACGGGATCCTGGGAAGCTTCTTGAAGCATGACATGATGGGTTCTTCCCTCCTTAAAGCAGGTATCAGAAGAGGCTTGTCCATAAAGGAATATTTGTACATGTGTGTGTTTATGTGTGTATGTACATTCATATATTATATCTAGAGAATAATATATATCCTCACCCCGCTCCCTTTTTAAAAACAAGATTTGATGAGAAATGCCAAATATTCTACCTACATCTAGGGACCCAAGGGCTAAGGGTTGTCCAGGCAAAGTATCCTACATCTAGGGACCTGAGGGCTAAGGGTTGTCCAAGCCAAGTATCCTACATCTAGGAACCTGAGGGCTAAGGGTTGTCCAAGCCAAGTATCCTACATCTAAGGACCTGAGGGATAAGGGTTGTCCAGATCAAGTATCCTACATCTAGGGACCTGAGGGCTAAGGGTTGTCCAGACCAAGTATCCTACATCTAGGAACCTGAGGGATAAGGGTTGTCCAAGCCAAGTATCCTACATCTAAGGACCTGAGGGATAAGGGTTGTCCAAGCCAAGTATCCTACATCTAGGGACCTGAGGGATAAGGGTTGTCCAGACCAAGTATCCTACATCTAGGGACCTGAGGGATAAGGGTTGTCCCAGTCAAGTATCGTACATCTAAGGACCTGAGGGCTATGGGTTGTTCAGCCCCTACTCCATACAGGAAGTAGTGGGGACAAGGATGAAGTCACTAGCCTGCTGGGAAGCTGAGTGGCTAGGTCTAAGTACTGTCTCTACTCTCTACGCCTGGGGTCTCAGCTGAGACCAGGCGAGCATGCAGACCACGCTTGCGCATCCTGCTTATTATATAACACAAGACGCTCCTGTGGTGACCAACCCTTCTTATTCTCCGGCAGAGATCCTCCCCATAACTGAATTTTCACATAACAGGGAATATCACTAAAAACAGAAATCATATTTGTGAAAGGGGAGAAAAATCCACAGAGCATTTATATCCGTACATTTCCTTCTCATCCACCTCCCATCCTTAAATTTATCCCAGGATTTGCATTGATTTGCGCTTGTATCCCTGTGAAATAAAAGCATTTAAAAGTGAGTGCTTTGGTAGCCTTTAGTAATCTCCAGGTGTCAGTCAGCATCGCTACATGGTTCCAAAACCATCAAGGAGGAAATTCTGTACCATCACGTTACCCCTCTGCTCTCTGAAAGCCAAACTATCTGTTTTCTGCCCCCAAAGATCCCCTTATTTTGTATATTTCACACAGTGTGTGACCTTTGATGTCTGGCTTCTTTGAATTGGCTACTGTGTGAAAGATTTATCAGAACTCACTTCCTTCTAATGCTGAATAATATTCCACTGGATGTGAGTTCATGTGTATGGGCATTGTGTTTTTTTTTTTATTTTTTGCTTGTATATGAAGGAATGGACTTGCCAGCATGCTGTAACTATATTTAACATTTTTTGAAGCACCAAACTTCTTTAAAATAATTTACATATTTGGAATTTATCTCTAGCTTTAATCCAAACAGGAAAATGTTTACTTGGGTATAGGTACTGTCTCTGCTCTTTCCCTCTGGGGTCCCACCTGATGCTAGGTGGAACACCCAGTGCCATGCATGGGCCAGCTCAAGGTAGGATGCAAGGCAGTTGAAGCTCTCACCGATCCTGAAGGTTCTGTAACATGCTTCATTGAGGCTGAGAGAGTATTTCTTTATACTGGAGCTGCTCCACCCCATCTCTGTCTACTTCCCTCCCTCCTTTCCTGCTTCTCTTCTTTTACTGGGTAGATGCTGGGCAAGTACTCTACCATGGGACACAAGCAGAACACAAGGTACCCGATCAACAGTTTTAAAGATAACCAAGTACAATCTGACTGTCTTGGTCAGTGTTCTATTGCTGTGAAGAGATGCCATAGCAATTCTTATAAAAGAAAAACATTTCATTGGGGTGGCTTACAGTTTCTGAGGTCCATTATTATCATGGTGGGACATGGCAGCGTGCAGGCAGACATGGTGCTGGAGAAGGAGCTGAGAGTCCTACGTCTTGATCCGCAGGCAGCTGGAGTCTGCGTTCCACACTGAGAAAAGTTGTGCTTAGGAGACCTGAAGCCCATCTCCACAGTGACACACTTCCTCCAACAAGGCCACACTTCCTAATAGTGCCACTTCTTATGGAGGCCATTTTCTTTGAAACTACCACAACTACTGAGTCAGGGTCCCCTGATTATGGTTGGAAGGACTGTCAATCAGGCTGGGTCAGAGCCTGTTTTGTTGCAAGCGATCAGATTTTTTATCCCCTTATCAGAAACAATACAATGGAGGTTGCCAGGAAGAATACAGTTGTAGTTGACAGGTTACAGTCTGCAGACTATACAGGGAACACAAGATTAATGTCTAAGACTAATTATTCAGGCAAATTTGCAAATGCTTCGCTGACTGCTAGAGAATAGGGAGAAACTCTGGTGTTCTGAATGCTCACTGCCTGAGGGGGTGCCTTGGTGTCTTGGGAACTGAAAGGCACAAAGTGCCCCAGGAGTCACAGACTCTAACCATGCCTCTCAAGCCAACGCCATGATTCCCTGCAAATTCCAAAGAGGCTCAGGGAATGCAGTCGGAAGCCATGTGCGCTCTAGGCTGGAGGGAAGGCGCGGGTCCCAATCCACTCTTTCCATACCTAACAGCGCATGAATTGACTCCCTCATCCTCCAAAGACTCTGGTGTAGAAGGTTTGGTCCCCAGATAGTGGCACAACAAAGGGCTGATTGCAACATGAGGCTCTGATCCAATTAATTAATCCTAGTAGAATGGACTATTAGAAGACAGAACTTGACAGAGGAAGTAAGTCACATGACTGTGTCTCCCTGGCTTGGAGCCCTAGCTACCAGGTTAGTAGCTTACTCACGGTGCCTTTCTGCCTCCCCGTGGCCTCAAAACAAGAGACTCAGATGAGCATGGCTGGAACCAAGAGCATACCAGAAGGGTTTGGAGAGATGAAATTGCTTACCCTAAACCCATAGGAGCCTGTCATGTGGGCTATTCCAGTCTAAATCATTGTATAATTGTCATAAGAAATTGATTTTGGTTTTTTTTTGTCTGTTTGTTTTTTTTGGATTTTTCGATATAGGGTTTCTCCGTAGCATTCCTGTCCTGGCACTAGCTCTTGTAGACCAGGCTGGCCTCGAACTCACAGAGATCCGCCTGCTTCTGCCTCCCGAGTGCTGGGATTAAAGGTGTGCGCCACCACCACCTGGCTTGATTTTGTTTTATTTTGAGAAAGGACCTGCGGCCATTGAAAAGGGTTCTTATTTGTTTGTTTGTCTTATGTGACCACATCTGGGATTCCTATTATGCTCGTGCCATGTCATGAACTGACAGAGGAAAGTATGTGATGAGCACAGGTTAGACCCCAAAGTCACCCGGTGAAGCCTGAGATGGCTTAAAGACCAACAGTGCAAATATGTGTGACCAAGGCTAACTTTTACTTACTTCTGAGTGTCCTGGTCCCATTCCCTAAGTTAGTAGAAATGAAACCCAAATTTAACCAGCATTTGTAGAAATTCCCGGAAAGTTCCCTCTTGCTGTGGTCTGAATTAAAGGGGCCCCACCCCTTTAATCTGTTGAAATCCAAACCCTGACCCCCAAGGTGACGGAATTAAGAGCACCGTTTAGTCTTAGTCCTTTTCTGTTACTACCGCAGGAGACCTGAGACCAGGCAACTTATCCAGGGGAGTGGTTTTCTTTGTCCTGTGCTTCTAGAGGCTGCAGCCTGAGAGATGGTGGCCGTGTGATGAGGGCCTCAGGGTGTTTTCACTCATGGTGGAAAGACCAAGAGACCAGCTGACCCCTCAGCAGTCAAAGGAGCATTCGCTACTCTTGCTGAGACCACTCAGGGCAGTGCTGTCCACAGCCAGTGAAGTTCTAGCTCTAGGGGAGCTGGTGGCCTCTTCTGGCCACCTTGGGAATATTCTTATGGGCAAGGACAAAAGCAGACACATAAATAAAATGAAAATAAATCTTAAAACAAAAGATTTCGAGTCATTCTGTGACTCGAAAGGAAGAGTACATGATCACTGCTTCTGTGTTGTTTAAAGTAGCTTTGTCTGGCTTTTGTGTGGTCAGCATTTCTGCTAACCCTTCCCAGGGGGACCGTCTCCCTTCACCTGAGCCTAGGAAGCACCCATTAAGGAAGAGTTTGTGTGTTCCCAGCTAATTCTAGAGTTCAGCCAACCTATGAAGGAGACTTCAGTGGACAGCTGAGGTAGGAACCCTTTTTCAGGAAATCAGGACTATTAAGAAGCAGCAAGCAAACATAAAATTCTCCTGTAATTGATGTTTACATGACACCCTGCTTACCAGGCCAGCAGGATGGTAACGCTGGGTGCGTCAAGTGACTTAAAGCTGATGAATTTAAAAACACAAGAGCTGAAAGGGACGCTGGCTGGACATCATTTGGTGGCTAGACACAGAATACCTGTGACGGGGGAAAGTGCCAAAGACTCTACGAGTTAGCTACTGCCCTCTCTTAACTCCCTTCCCCCTCTCCTACCCCTCCTCCCCTTTCCCTTTCTTCTCCCCTCTCTCTCCAGTCTCTAGTAAATTTCTCCGTAGGAGATGCACGCTCCTTTCCACCAGGAAAATCTGACTAAATCTAGGCCTGACTCCTTCCCCTCAGGCCAGTGCACTCAAGATAAAGTCAACTCAGCCCCTGTACTGTTGGGCGCTTCAGTTGCTGCAGGGTAGATTGGGCAGGTCTGGGCAGAGCAGGGCTCTGCTGGTCTCCTAGCGACTCGGGCAGCCGTGGGGTAACATGCCACCCACGAACCGGCAGTGGTCCTGCAGCTGGCGACACCATGGCGGAGCGTGGGCAGAGGCTCCAGCTCCCGACTTTGCCTCTCAAGCTGCTGCAGGAGAACCGGAACTGCGGGCCCTGGTAAACTCGTGCCGCTGGGGCTCAAGAAACTGCTGTTCAGGGAAGCCTGGATCCCCTGGGCTGGGCGGGGAAGGGCCTTGCTGCTTGGAATTGCCTTTCGCGGTGTCCTCTGTGCCCTTACTATAGAGTGAAAAGACCAGTGCTGTCCCGAAAGAGCACAGCCTTTTGGGTTCCTTTGCCACAAGCCCAGGAGAAGTCCTTTGAAGTCCCAGGCCAGATAGGGACACACAGAGGCCTCTAGGGAGTCTGTACTACCTCAGGCCTCTGAGCTCCAGCCTTCCACACACAGTTGGGGAGTAACTAGCTCTTTCAACAGACCCCTGGTTCAGCGCATGGCATCCGCAGTACCTGGAGTCTGTAGCCCTTCAGTTGGAGGTTCTGGCCCAGCAGAACCCTTGGTGGGAGATGTTTGAAGTCCTGGGAAGACAGGTCACTACTTGGAGGGTTGGTGAGCAGGGAAAAGGATTTTATTTTCCACTTGCTTGAGAGTGAGTTCTGGTTAGTAAAGAGGCCTTTCAATGGGCAATGAACAGGGCAGCAGGCCTAGAATCAGAAAGGCTAGAAGCTCACTACGTAGCCTAGGCTCGCCTTAAGATGGTGGTCCTCCTGCCTCAGCCTCCAGAATGCATGATTTGAGGTGTGCAACCAAACCCAGCAATCTGGGCTCTTGTTTTCTTACTGTGAAACGAGAAATGTTAGTGAATCAGCCTTGCAGTTCCGTGAGGACCCTTGGGACGAACCACACATAGAATACAAGGCTCTCTGTATCTCTAGGAGCCCTTATGAGTGCCTGGGAAGTCTTAACACCCACCCCCTGCATTGAAAACCTATCTGCTTTGAAATAATTGTAGATTTGGGGAGATGGCGAATGTCCAAAGTCCTACAGCGCCTTCCCTAGTGGCTTCCGATGGCACTGTCTTGTGTGTCTACAGCCCGCCACCACGCCAGGAAAGTGACCTTGGCACAAGGTCCAAGTGGTTAAACAAGACCTCTGCATTTACCAGCTCTCACGTCTGTAGAATTTCCCTATGTATACTTCAAGATTCCAAACTGCTTCACAATCAGGATTAATTACCTTCCCCATTGCTGTGGAAGAAGAGCTCACCCAAACAGAGAAGGGCTGGCTCTGGCTCATCTTTTTGGGAGGTACTGGTCTCTGCCAGTGAGGGAAGTGGGCAGCCCAGACAGCCTTATCCACGGAGGTGAGAGCTCTTGGCAAGACTGCATACATCGTGGGCGATCAGGAGCACAGATAGGTGGGAAGCAGAGCAGGAGTTTTACCCTGAGGGCTAGAGAGGCTTCATGTCCCCCAAAGTTCCATAAACTCCAAAAAGAGCGCCACCATCTGGAGATCGAGTGTTTAAACATGAGATCCTCTGGGGGACATTTTACATCAACCAACCACACAGGAACAACCGTGGGACCCTCATTGTCAGTCTTTCTTACCCTGACCAACCACAAATCTGTTCCCCAGTTCTGTAATTTTGAGCATTTTAAAAGTGTTACCTAGGGGCTAGAGAGCTGGCTCAGCAATTAAGAATACTCTTATTCTTAATACTCTGGAAGATGCTGAGGACTGGAGTTGGGTCCCCAGCACCTCCATCAGGCAGCACACAAGTGCCTGTAATTCCAAATCCAGGGAACATGATAAATAAGTAAAAATAAAAAATAGTGCTAGCAAGCTAGAACGACATACGTCATGCTCTTTTGATACCGACTCTTCTCACCCATAAAGCTTGTGCAATCCGTCCATGCTGTGCTTGTCAATGATTTGTTCACCTGGTTGCTTAGGAGCGTGCCCTGTGGCATGTTTGTTTCTTTATGCACTTGAAGACATCCAGGCTAGTTTCAGTTTTTGACTATTGTGAACGAAGCTGCCACGAACCTTTATGTACATGACTTTGGAAGAACATATATTTTCATTTCCTTAGGGTAAATGTCAATGTACCATATATGAATGTCTGTGAAAATAGCAAACATTCAGGAGAAAATGGTTCTAGTTTTATATCATTGGTTAAGCAAGATTATTTGTGGGCCTAAGCAGATATGGAGAGTTGAAGTTGGAGGCGTAGTTCGGTTTGCAAAGTGCTTACCTACCATGAAGCTTTGGGTTCAACCCCCAGCACCCTAAACCTAGGTGTGATGGCTCACACTTATAATCGTGGCATTCAGGAGCTGGAGGCAAGAGGCTCAGAAGTTGAAGGTGGCTCAAGGTGTCCTCTACAAGGCTGGTTTGAGAGTAGCCTGGGCTATAGGAAGCTGTCTCTCAAAATGTATGACTAAATAAAGGCAGAAAGAAAATGCAGAGTTCAGCTTTTATCTATGAGAAGATGGGGTAGAAGAAAGCCCTTCCTCTTACATCCACGCACCTCTCAGAACTGAAAGGGAGGTTAGGGAGACTCAGCTTCCCTCAGGCTTCCTGCCAGTTTCAGAATTCTGAGTCTCAAACTAGGTACTATGCAGTTCCCATTTTGAGATGTATGGCTGTACTAAAACAAAGACATTTATTGTTTTAATTTGTTTAATGATTTTAGGAAGCGCTTGGGTGTTTAAGTTAGTTATAAATATAGACTATGAGCTTTATAAAGATAGTTATTAATGGGGAGGGTTATTTGCTAATAGGTAGAGCTGACTGGTCATAAACCCCAAGATGAGATGTGGTTCAACACACCCGAACATCGAGCCGTTTGGAGAGTGATTTATTTTTTTTTATTTATTTATTTATTATGTATACAATATTCTGTCTGTGTGTATGTCTGCAGGCCAGAAGAGGGCACCAGACCTCATTACAGATGGTTGTGAGCCACCATGTGGTTGCTGGGAATTGAACTCAGGACCTTTGGAAGAGCAGGCAATGCTCTTAACCACTGAGCCATCTCTCCAGCCCCTGGAGAGTGATTTATTAAGGACAGGGAGAAACTTTCTGCAAACTCATTTCTTTGGTCCTTTCATGTAGATTTTTAGAATGCAGTGAAGTTAAGCTCCTCAAACACACCTGTACATTTACATATGGCAAAGAAGATTCTAGGGTTCACTGGAAACCACTGAGAACCAGGCTAAAATCTCTTAAAAATGTGTGACGATGATTAGAGCAAAGATTGGATTTAGTATAAAACAGGACAGGCAAAAAAGGGAAGACAATAGCTGTCAAAATGTCTGAGGCAGGCTGACATTAGTTAGGGCCCTCAGCTGCCCGGGTTCCGAGGCCTGCCTTTATCACTGGTTGTGTATCTAGATCTGGTATCATTTTCCTTCCCGTGTGCCATCTGTCCCTTCCATCTCATCTCTGTGACCCGACTGCTCCGTCCTAGTGGGGTCCTGGAGGGGAAGGAAGCAGAGAGACAGCGGCTGTGTGAAAGTCAGACATGAGTCTGTGGTTCACCTGAGGTAAACAGTGGAAGACCACCTGTGGCTCCATGAAAATATGCATCTAGTGGTCCAAAACTTAGAAAACCTTTGGATTCTAAGGGGACCTGAGATGCCAGATAACGCAGGAGAAAATTACAAAAATGATCAGCTCCAGCGTGCAGCTAGCCGCCATTCACTGCTGCTTTGAACTGCATTAGAAATCCCAGGCCTACCACCTCTTAACCATAGCGCTTTTTATCTAGAATTTATTTTTAATGTTTCTAGTCCCCCCCTCTATGTTTGTGTATATGTGTGTGTGCGTGCACGCGAGCACCTGTGGATATGTGCACTTGAGTGTATGTGCCCATGGAGGCCAGGGGCTTTGGGTTCCCTGGAGCGAGTTACACCTGTGTTGCTTTTGATGTGTGTGCGTATGTGTGCATGTATGTTTGTGTTTAATTTCTCTGTGCCTCATGTCAGCTATAAATAGGAATAACACTAGTACTGACTACATGGGGCTGTTATGACATTTAAATAGGCTGATGTATGAAAGCACTTAAAGCAGTTCCCGTGTTGTGGGGAGTTCTCCAACTGTGTAGCTGTTAGGAAAACTGTTTAAAGAAAATTTATCTATTTGTGTGTGTGTGTGTGCACACACACACGTTCTTGCACACGGAAGTCATCGTGTGTGTGCGTGTAGGTCAGAAAACAATTTTTGGAAACAGTTCTCTCCTACCATGTGGGTCCAGGGATTAGGCTGGTCAGCAGGCACCTTTGCCCACAGAGCCGCCTGTCAGGCTTTGTACCCCCCCCCCCCCCCACACACACACACAGAGATCTAACTGACATGTTGTGGGTTTCATGCAGCTCATGGACTACCATTTCCCAGCCTTCCTCCTGAGTTGAAAGGGGAAACCAGGCCTATCTTAGTTAGGGTTTTATTGCTATGAAGAGACACCATGACCGCAACAGTTCTTATAAGGAAAACGTTTAATTGGGGCTGGCTTACAGGTTCAGAGATTTACTCAATTATCATCATGGCGGGAAGCATGGTGGCAGCGTGCAGCAGACATGGCACTGGAGAGGTAGCTGTGAATTCTACATCTGGATCGGCAGGAAGTAGGACGAGAAAGAGACACTAGCTTGAGTATTTGAAACCCCCAAACCTGCCCCCAGTGACACACTTCCTCCAACAAGGCCACACCTCCCCATAGTGCCACTTCCTGTGAGCCTGTGGGGGCCATTTTCATTCAAACCACCACAAGGGCCCACTGAGGGTATCTAACACACAAATTCATTCAGTTACAGAGGGGCTGCATGAGTTACCCTTCTCATCCCCATGAAAAAATACCAATGCAAAGCCACACATGCGGGAAGGATCTCTTTGGGCTCAGGGTTTGAGGTGGAAGTGGCTGTTGTGGTGGGAAAGGCAGGACTGAGTTCAGGGTGTGAATCCTGCAGCTGGGACTCCACACCGAATGGAGAATACCAGCGCTTCCTCTCTTCAGTCCCCACCTCCAGTCCGTGGCATGGCACTACTCACATGCTAGGTGGTTCACCCTCCTCAGCTTGCCCTCCCGGAAATGTCCTCATAGGCGTGCCCAGGAGTGTGTCTCCTAGGCGATTCCAAGTCCAGTCAAGCTGACAGTGAACTCTTCATCACAACAGCTGCATTGCCACTGGGACCCCAGTTCTCCCTGCCACACTGCTGTCCCTTGTCTCTGGGAGGGGAACCGGCCTGACTCTTCTTCACAAACACAATGGATTTTTTTTTAACGTGGCATAAGTAGTTAGAATAGCGAATACTTCGATTTACACATGGAGGGGCCTTTAAAATACAGTGTCATGGATGGCACAGGTAAGACTTTGAAATAGGGTACTCAGTAAAACAGCATCTGCGTTCAGAATACATGCACTCAGGGATAACTGATGCTATAAGGATTGTGCAGGCTAAGGTACAGGTCCCCTTCACAACAGTGGCTTTGCTTAAGTGGGTGATGGGAGCAGGTCCTGGGGACACAGCAGGACACACAAGGATGGGGCTTGCAGAACATGGTTAACTCAGCCTCCTGTGACTGCCTCTTCCTCTGACCCCTGCTCCCCCCCACCCACAATAGATGGAGGCCAGCCTCCTCACCCCCTCCTCCCACCCGGGTCCTGGGATGCATATCACCTGACTTGTATCTTCTAGGCACCTGGAGACCCTGCCTTCCAAGAGTTTCATGAAGCCCAAGAAGCTGAGGTTCCCAGGACCTGTGAACAGCCGGCGCTGGGTGTTTGTGAGAGAGGGACTGGATGACTTCAGGAAAGGCTGTCCCCGACACCAGCACCCCAAGAATGTCTCCCTGCCTCATGTTCATCACAGACTTCCCCAAGCTACCCCCAAGAAGAGGCAGAATGGACTGCCTGAGGGTGCTGCTCTGTTATCCAAGCTTCCACAGATGAGGAAGGCATTCCTAGAGGGTGTGGAAGATAGCATGGCCCTGCACCCCCTGGCTCTCTACCCACATCTGGAAGAAGCTCTGCCCCCTGAGGTGATTTGTCTGGGCTTGAGGAGGTGCAGTCGGGGGAGGGGCTGAAAAGAATTCTTTCCAGGCGCCCAGGAGGCCCTGGGGTGCATGTTATAGGAAAGGAGGCCATACCCCCAGCTTCCTGTGCAGTCTTTCAGCTCACCAGAGCGTCCCACACAGGCAGTTTGGGCTCTCAAACCCTCTTTGTTGACTTTGCCTTGAGACTTTCTAGATACAGGACGCCATGCAGGGAACTGCCCAGTCTCACTTAGGTCTCTTTAGCCCAGGGCAAAGAGATTTTTTTTTTTTTTAAGAACTCGCTAACAGAAGGGTAGAGACGGGAGAATCTGAAGGGCATGGGGAGAGGAGCAGGATTCACAGTAACCTCCAGGCCAGGCCTGAATAGGAACTCTGTGGTGTCACCAGTGTCCCAGGCTGCTCCTAATCTGTCTTCACAGCCCTTGGCACATTTACCCTGTTTCTATATCTCAAAACGGCACCCAGTTTCCAGCAAGAAAGAAGAAATGGCCGGGCGGTGGTGGCGCATGCCTTTAATCCCAGCACTCGGGAGGCAGAGGCAGGCGGATCTCTGTGAGTTCGAGGCCAGCCTGGTCTACAAGAGCTAGTTCCAGGACAGGAACCAAAAGCTACGGAGAAACCCTGTCTCGAAAAATAAATTAAAAAAAAAAAAAAAAGAAGAAATGGCTACCTTTTTCACTAAGCTAATGATAGTTTTTCTATGAATGGCTTCCTCATTTGACCTCCGCTAGAAAGCTTAGAAATGGTTTCTTACTTGACCACCACAGCCTTAAACAAATCCTGGGCTGTATGAGATCTGAGGAAGAAGGCAGACGGGGTTCGGCAGGAGGTGAGCAGGAGTGGCTCTCTACACCCACCCCTGCAGCTTGTCCCGAGCTAAACAGGCAAGTACGGGTGCACCATTCCCTTGCTCAGAACCCCGTCTCACTCAGTGGAGCCAAGCCCCTGCCTGGCTTTGGGGACCCTCTTATCTGCTGCTCTTATCCCGCTCCAGCTGCAATTTCTGATCAGCGGTTTTCTACATGGCTTTTTTCTTCCCGGAGTTTCAAATAAAGAGGTGGTTCTACCGCATCTCGTGGCGCATGGCCATGGCACTGGAGCGTGGTTCTCATTCCCCTGTCCGATTTCCCTACCTAGGTTTCATAAGCTTTTTTGTGAGGCAGGGTCCCCTTATGGTGCTGACCTGGGTCTCCAGTTCAGGTTTGACTTCACAACTGCAGCAAAGGAACAACACTTCTTTTTCATGTGATCCCAGAAAAATCCAAACCCGCAGTCTAGTTTCCGTGGTCCACTTGGTTCACGAGCCTGCTGCATCCCTAAGCTAGTCACTGTGGCTCTGGTGTGGTCTTGCAAGAATGGAGGTGTGGTTAGGACCAAGTGAAAGGGGGAGGAGGGAGAGGTGGATCTTGGTGTGTGTGGGGGTAGGGGAGGGTCATGTGTATGTTGAGATATGTGTGCCTGTGTAGTAGGACGAAGACAACCTCATCTGTAGTTCCTTGGGTGGCGACCATCGTTTTATAGAGACAATGTTTCCTACTGTCCGGGGACTCACCAAGCTGGGTACACAGGCAGGTCTCTATTACTTAAGCCCTAAGATTATAAGTGTGCACCGCACCCAGATTTTCTTTTTTAGTATGAGTTCTGGGGGTGGAACTCAGGTTCTCCTGCTATCAAGGCAAGCACTTTACTGGCTGTGCTGTTTCCCCCAGCTCGTGAGGTGGTTCTTCAGAGGAAAATGCAGACACTGTATCCATAGGGCAAGAGTGATGCCTGAGACGCCAGCAGTCAAGAACCACGGAAATCCAAGGAGAGACACTCCAAGTTCTGGGTCCTTAGGGGTCTGGGGGAGGCTCACAGGCGTATTTCTAGAGGAGATGGAATCATAGCACAGCCTGAGCACCCAGTGTCCAGGTGACAGACAGCCTGCAGTGCAGTACCCAGTACAAGGCTCTATGAATGGCATTTGAAAAGGAACATCAGAGAAGCGACTTGGTACCCTTTGTTACAGAATCGGGAGCCCGTTTCCTGCAGTGCTCACCCTACCGTACCCCAAGTCTGCTTTCTCTTTGCAGCTCTTACTGCAGGTGCTGGAGGTACTCGACCCTGAGAAGAACTTGGAGGAGACGTGGGCTTATTGTCGGGATACCAGAAAATTATTGAAGGGACCCACAGAACTTGAAGAAAAATGTTCTTCTCAGGTGTGCCTGTGAGTACTGCTGACGTCTTTGCCCTGATGAACATCCTAGGATGCTCTTATCGTATTTAGAACAATTTTCCTAATTTGGGTGCTTGGTTTTGTTAGTTAAAAAAAACAAAACAAAAAAACCCTCTCAGTCTCATTTAGGCCAGACTGACCCCCATCTTGTCATGATGCTAAGGATGACCAGATGCCTGATCTCCCTGTGTTTTCAAGACTGGGATTTTAGGCCCATGCCACCACACCTGGCCATCTAGAATACTTTTTAAAGAAGCAATGGCAATAAGGATTTGTGGCAGAAGACAAGTCGTGACTCTGGTCAATAAATAAACATGGGCACCCATCTAGCTTTTATTTGAGAAGAGGATGGCAAAAGGCCTGATGAATTGACTTTATTCAACATGGTAGGCCAATGGTTGGTTGGATAATTATATGCACATGTGTGCACCTATGTCAAGGAATTGTCAAGGATGCCCTCGCTAGCCATTCTTACTATTCTGAGACAGGGTTTAAGGTAGCCCAGGCTGTCCTGAAATTCTTCATCTTCCTGCCCCTATTTCCAGTGTGCTGGGATTACAGGCTTAGGCCACGACACCTTGCTGCTGCTTGTCATCCAAAGCAATTATAAAATCTTTTATTTTTGGAGGCTCTGTTCATCTTTACATAAACCATGCCCATAATTGCTTCCTTCTCTGAATCTTTCTAAAGCATGAAACTTTAGAAATTAGAATTAAACTTTAGAATTAAAAATTCTTTTGTACCCCGTTCTTGCTCCTGCAATCCCATATTATTTAATAATGTAGATGTTGATTGACATAAGTAAGTTTCAGCATAAGCATGGGATGAAACGTGTTTACTTCTGAAACTGGGTGAGCTCACTGATGGGTGCTGAAGTAGGTAGGCTGATCTGTAGACCGCGGTGACAAGGTGATAAGCACTGTTGCTGCATTGCTTGCTCTCTGGTATATCAGGGAGAGGGACTCACCTCACTCCTGCCCTTCCCACTGGAGAGAGAACCTGTGGGGTGCACAAGTTCTTCTCCCTGTCCGTGCTGGAGGGAAGGTCACCCCTGGTGGGGACTGGGTGGAGGAATCTGCCAGTTGATGGTCATCCATGAACAAGTCCTCTTGGACATAAAGCCACGCCCTCTAACTTGGCAGCCGCTTGTCATAAAAGTGATGGTTTGGCTTCTGTCTTCACTGTTTATATTGTCTCTCAGGTTGAGCAGAACCTGCATGCAGAAGAGAGGAACATTATGCGTGGAGACATAATCTATGATATAGTAAGACAATAAAGGCAGCATCTGTCTTTCACTTTGGGCAGTTTACATGGTTAACCCTGAACAATCTCTAAGGCAGTGGCTCTCATCCTTCCCAATGGTACAGCCCTTTAATATGGGTCTTCTTGTTGTGGTGAACCCCAACCACAAAATTATTTCATTGCTACTTCATAGCTATAATTTTCTACTGTTACAAACTGTAATAGAAATACCTGATATGTGAATCTCCGAAGGGCTCGCGACCCACAGGTTGAGAACCAGTGTTCTAAGGTAAGACATTGCACACAAGTGGGCATTGATCACCCATGCACTCAGAAGAAGTCCAGCCGTAATATATTAATATGTTAGCATATCATAAAGGAAACGTGTAATTTCAAAGAGGTGAGCTTGGCTGTTAGCATATACATTTGTTTCCTTTGGCTGCTGGGGAATTTTGACACAAACTTGGTGGCTTATGGACATGTTCTTCCAACGTTTCCTAACAGCTCTGAGCCTATAGTCAGCTGACATCAGATGTCAGCAGGGCTGTGTTCCCTCCAGAGGCTGCAGGGAAATTTGCTCCTTGCTTCCTTCGGTCTCTAGTGGCTGCTGGAGTTCCATGGCTTGTGACCACATTGCTCCAAACTTGAAGACCAGTAGCTTCGTGTCTCTGTCTGGTGTCCTCATGTCGCCTGCTCTCGTGTGTCAGGTCCACCCCTCTCTGTCCTTCAAGGACGCCTGTGATGGTATGTGTGACCCAGCAAGATAATCTAAGATAATCTCCCAGTCTCAGAAGTGTGGATGAATCACACCTGCGAAGACTCTTAAAAAGTGGAGAACCCCAAGCTCCAAGGATTAGCACTTGATCTCTTTAGAGGCCTCCATGGCCCTCCCAGAGCATGAGGTGACACCACCCCTCCTGAAAACAAGCTCCCTTGGCCAGATACCCTAGCCTTCCCTCTGAGAAGAGCCTTTGAAGGCGGCATCCAAACACATTCCCTCTTGATCCCACAGCAGTCAAGCTTCCTCTTCGGTACCCACTGAACTCCACTGACCTTGCCCTTGGTCAAGGTCACATTGACATCTATTCTGCCACATCAGTGACTTTGCCCATTGTCCTGACAAAATATGTGTCAGAAGCAGTGTCAGGGAAAAGGGTTTGTTCTGGCTCACCGTTCCAGAGGGTACAGTCCATCATGGTGGGGAAGACATGGGGGTAGGGCAGCCTCACCGCCAAGGCACTAGGAAGGTACTCCAGGGGCCCGTTTCCTGAAACCCAACATAGAGTAGAGAGTTTGGGGCAGGAGCAGGGTCAGGCTATAACCCTCAAGCCCTGCCCCAAACAGTTTTTTCTACCTTCTTTCCAGAAGTTCCATAATCTGAGCAGACCCAGCTAACGACCAAGTACTAAACATCTGAGTTTATGCGGTACATTTCCCATTTAGACGCTAACAGTAATTATACAAGTGTTCTCTGGCCACCACACTGTCATCGAGGACACAGTGAAGGCACCAGTCTAGACTGCTCCATGGGTAGGGAAGTTTAATTGGGCATCAAACTGCCAAAGCTATCTCTGGGTTGGGGGGTGCAGAGAGAAGAGCAACATGGTGGAAAAGCAAGCGGATTTGATGTAACAGCAAACAGGATGGGGGCTCTGAGCTGATGCAGGCTGTTCAGATGGACTGGGAACTAGATGTCCTTGCCAGAGGGAGTCGGCCTTGGGGTTCCTGGTCAACAGAAACTGAATTTTAGCCTCTGTGTACCTAATAATCTTTCTTTTTACTTGGCCAAAGTTCTTCTGTTTCCTAAACATTGTCACCAGCACTGTCATTTGGGGCAGGGGATCTGCGTTTCTACCGCACTAGCACACAACTGTTTCCATAGCAACCGACACAACTGATGACTTTCCCTTTAACACTATTTTTTTTTCCTTCTGAGACAGGGTTTCACTCTATAGACCAGGCTGGCCCTGTGGCAATCGTTCTTCCTTCCCAGTGCTGGGATTACCAATGTGAACCACTGTCTTTCTTTAGCTTCTGGAACATTCTTTTTCCTTGCTTTCTTATTGTCCTCAATTTGATTTCCTTTGAGTGGTTTCTCTATCCATCCATCCATCCATCTCTATCTATCTATCTATCTATCTATCTATCTATCTACCCATCCATCTATTTATTTATGTTGAGACATGGTCTCCCTATGTAGCTCTAGCTGTCTTATTTGTTTGTTTGTTTTGAGTTTTAAACCTTAAAGTACTTCAGTTTCTGTACATTCACACCCAAGTGATCTTGGCCACTTTCAAGTGGACAATCCAGGATTTGTCCTTGGGCCTGCAGTTAACACCAGGGACTGTACAGATGGAAACCAAACTCTTCACTTCTCTCTGTACTCCTCCTCTGCCTTTCACAGCTCAGGAAATAGTGAGGACTTAGTAACCAGTTGCTTCCAGAATAACAGCAATCTGCCAACAAATGGTCATTGTGAAATCTGAAGCACTCTATTTTACTAGTGTTATTAGTAATCCTAGCATCGCTAACACTGCTAGTCTGTTCCACTGTCTCTTGTTTGTATCATCAGAATAGCTTATTAATTTGTGTGGTGGCTCTGAGAATGGCCCCCATAGATTCATATATTTGAGTGCTCAGTCACTAAAGCGTGGGAAGGGTTAGGAGGTGTGGCCTTGTTGGAGAAGGTGTGTCACTAGGATGTTTCAAAAGCTGACACCAGGTCCAGTCTTTCTCTTTCCCTTCCTCTCTCTCTCTCTCTTCTTCCCTCCCTCTCCCTCTGCCTCTTGCCTGTGGATCAGGATGTAAACAGCCCAAATTAAATACTTTATAAGAGTTGCCTTGGTCATAGCATTTCTTTGTCACAATAGAACAGTAACTGAAACAACTGGTTTCATGGCCTCTAAGCCTAAACCCTACTTTCATTCTCTCTCTCTCTCTCTCTCTCTCTCTCTCTCTCTCTCTCTCTCTTTGTGAGTGTGTGTGTGTTTCTACCCTGTTTTAGACAGGGTCTCTTGGTGGTTTGCACCGGGCTTATGAGCTTGTAGGGAGTTTCCTGTTTCTGCCTCCTCCCTCCGTGGGAGATCACTGGGATTACAGACTTGTGCTGCCCACCCTGGCTTTGTGTGCTTTCTGAGGATTCTGAGGATTTGAACTTGGGACCTCATACTTGTGCAGCAAGCGCTTTACCCATGGAGCCATTTCCCCAGTCCATTCCCCTCTTTTTAAAATTAAAACAATTACATTTTCATTTACTTTAGTGTGTGTGGGTTATATGCGTACCTTTTGACAAGAGGTCAAAGGACCACTTGTAGGGGTTGGCCCTCTCCATCTTCAGGTCCTTGGGCATTGAGCTGAGTGGGTTAAGGTTGGCCTAAGGTGCACTCAGCAGCAAAGCTGTTTGGTCCCGAAGTCTGCTTGTCCTCAGAGCAAACCCGATGTCTCACACACTTAGGCATCATTCCTGCGCTCAGCCTTCCCTTAATGCTTCCTAGTGCAGACAAAAGTCACACTGGACTGCACGTGCTGTGCATCCACACCAAGGCTGTTGCCTGGTCTGATATTTAGCAGGTCCAGTGCTTTCCTCTTCCGGGTCTGTGCTCAGTGTCATTTAGGGGAGAGACTTTCTCTGTAGAAATGAGATTATTTTCTGGAATCCTCTCCAGCCCTTCCCCCATTTACTTTCTCTTTATCTTGTTCCTGAGTATCTGGCATATGCTGGTCTGCCTGTCAATCTGTCCTTGCTCAGTTGAAGGCAAGTGAAGACAGCAATTTTGGTTATATTTACAGTTGAAGACTGATTTCTAATGCTTCATCTCCAGCCCATATTTGGTGCTTAGGAAGTATTTCTTAACTGATTGGAAGGCAAGTTAATCTGTGGATATATGAAGAAGACGGTAGGTTTGGGGAACTATGTGGGGATGCCTTCCTCAGGAAGGGATATGAAGCTAGGTTGTAACTCAGTTGTTATGAGTGCTTGCCTAGTGCACACAAAGTCTTGGGGTTAATCTCCAGGACCAGCTAAACAGAATTCAGAGGCACATGGCTGTAATCTAAGTATTTATGAGGTGCAGGTGGGAGGGTCCGAAGTTTAAGGTTCTTCCTCTACTGTGGTGGACCTCAACCTTATGAGTTGGATATTGGGAGACTGGGTTTGACACACTCAGACTTACATTCAGCAGTGAGCACTTGGCCTGAAATTTAGATAAAGAATTGGGGATTGGGAGAATAGATAGACAATGCAGAAACACCAGTGAGAGCCTTTCACAGTAGTACAGAGAAGCAGACATTGATGGGCTGGATGTCAGAGATTGTAGTGGCTCTAGATGGCACATGTATTAATACATGATACTCATAACTTTGAGTGTCATGACCCTGGATCTAATGTTCTTAAGCTTTACTCAGTGTGACTAGCCATGACACACTTGTATTTCTAGCACCGATGGGGATATGTGATCTTTGACCATGACCTTTTAGAGACCTTGAGAAGTCTGATCTCATTTCCCAATGATACCAGTTGAGACTCACTTGGATTTATTGAACCTCATCCTTCTTTCTTTGATAATCTCATTGTCTTTAGCCCCAAGAAGATGCCAGTGTCACGTTCAGGCCAGTGGCTTTGCGAAGAAAAGCCAAGCGAGGTGAATTCTCTCTATCAAGACAGTCTCCTTCATGACAACGTGCGCAGAGGGGTCCGAGACTTCTGTGACTGGGCCAAGGCTCTTGTAAGTTAGCGGTGACTTGTAACCAGAGGCTGTGCGTTCATTTCCCGGCTGTCCAGTCCCGGGTAATCACACAGAAACTTATATTAACTACAAACTTTCATATTAACTACAAACTGGCCTACTAGCTCAGGCTATTATTAACTAGCTCTTTCAGCTTAAGTTAACCCATAATTCTTATTTATGTCTAACCACATGAGTTAGTACCTTTTCTCAGTACGGCATTCTCATCTTGCTTTCTCTGTGTCTGACTGGTGACTGTGTCTCTGCCTTTCCTTTTCCCAGAATTCTCCTAGTCTGGTCACCCCACTTATACTTCCTGCCTGGTTACTGACCAATCAACGTTTTATTAAACCTATACGAAAATTTTTAGTCAAAATATTTTATATACATATTCATTACATTTATTAAATTATGTATTTGTGTGTGCGCGTGTGTGCATGTACATGTCACAGTGACAGAGGACAACCTGTGAGAGCTGGTTCTGTCCTTCCATCATGTGGGTCCTGAGGTTCAAACTCAGCTTATCTAGCCTGTTGGCAAGCACCTTTACCAGTTGAGCGATATTTCCAGCCCTGGTTAATGTAGCTCTCTAGTCCTATTACATTAGCAGGGACTATCCTCCAGACCCGAATATAATTCGATGGGTTTAAGGGAGAAAGGAGAGTTACCCAGAAGCACTTGGAGAGTGAGGCCCAATGAGGTCTAGATGCTGAACTGCTTTTAGGCGCTGTTCTCAAGTCCTGTTGGCCTCTTTACCTGACTTTACTCTCAAGTTTCCCCCAACACATACCAGAAGTCATCGCCAAAATTAAGGCTGCATTGTACCAGTGTGAGGTCTGGTGGGGAGAGAGAAACCATTCTTCAACAAGGCCCAGTCCAGGGCTTTCTGTGTGGACCATGTGTTTGTGTCAGAATTAATCCCTACAATTAGGGAGAGGATGCCTACTCCCTGCTACCCACGGCACTGCTGGTCCGTAGGATTGTGTAGGACTGTTTGACTCCCATGCCTTCCCTCATTTCTGCTGGCGATTCCTCTTCCTGCCCTCCTCTCATGTCTTGCCGTGTCCTTGCAGGGAAGTTCGCCCCTCGAGGAGGAGTTCATCCTGCAGCAGTTTGACCTTGACTATCACACGAGACGCTGCTGTGCTGTGCTTCCTGCTACAAGAGCCGAAAAGCGTTCTGTCCTGAGCCAACTGCAGGAGGCAGAGCTGTGCCATAAACCAGACCATGAGAGGCGACTCTGGAGAGCACAGGTGACCACAGGAAAGCAAGCCAACAATCTAAGGAAACTGAGTTACGTTAAAGCCTTATGTGCTCTTGAAGTCTGGCTCTCTGGGGCTCTGGCCTTTTAAAGCCGACCTCTCAGGATGTTATCATACTTAGTAAATATTTGATTAGAGAATTGATATTTGATATCTATGATAGTGGTTTATGTGAAGAAGACATACCATTTGAAACTGTTACTGACTCCCCACTTTCAGAGAGTCTTTTAAAGTGTTTCCTATGTTAAAACTGTAACATCTAATGAGAATATTAATGAATGCTTATTATTTATAACCAAGAGTAATACAGTGATTGTGAACACTGTAAATCTTATGCCCAAATGAATTCTTATTTGAATCGAATTGACCGCACATGGTTTTCGTTAAGAAGTTTTAAAACACTTTTTAGGTGTGTGTGTGTGTCTGTGTCTATGTATGGATATATGCACATGACGGGAGGTGACTGTGGAGGCCAGGGGCATTGGATCCCCTGTAGCTGGCATCACAGGTGGTTACGAGTCCGTGTCAACCTTCTGCAGGACAAACCCTTCATCGATGGCCGACCGTCCCTGAGAGAACATGGCGGGTGCTGGAACAAACCCCGGTCCTCTGGAAGAGCGGTGAGTGCTCTTACCCTCTGAGCGGTTCTCCACCACAGCTCCTTTCGGGATCTCCTCCTCGCAAACTCGGAAGCAGGCCTGAAGAAAGAAGAATCACAGCAGCATTTTGAAGAGAAGTGACATGGGGAGCCCTGACGATGCGGTCTTTTTAACTTTCTGTTCTGTTCCAGTGTAAATAAACACGCATGCCTCATTGGGTGAGCAGCAGACTTCAGTGCCTGTGTGAGCAGGGAGTGGCTTCTTCAGAGTCAAAAACAGCACATTATCTCTAATTAGCTCGGAATTACCTGTAATTTTTTTCTTCACACATCTTACTATGTAGTTTTAGTTCTCTGAAGAGAAAAACAGAAGACTTCTCTCAGGGCGAGGAGATGGCGCGGTAGATAAAATGTTTGTTGCATAAACAGAATGAGCTAAGTTTAAATCTTGAGAACCCGTCCAAAGCCAGACACAGGAGCACATGTCTGACACTTCAGCTCCTCCTATGGTGACATGGTGGCATCAGGGGTTTGGGGGATTCCCAGAAACTTAGAGCCAGCTAGCCTGGCCTCTCAGCAGTGAGCAACAGAGACCCTTCCTCAGCACTAACAAGTGAGGGCTGGTGCAGAGCTGTCCCTGTGCCCTGAACGTGTGTGCAGAAGCATATGCACTTCACGCAGGCTTGCACACACATGCTTGCACAACACTCTCACGTGTGCGCACGCATACATACACACACACACACACACAATGTTTAGTAGGTGCAGAATTCTAGGTTCACAGTTTTGGCCTTTACTTCAGCACTACGGAGCTGTTGCTCCACCGTCTCGACTGAGTTATTTCTGATGAATCTTACGAGACGCTTGACCTCTGCTTCCCAATGTGCTGTTTTCTTCGGTCGCTTTTAGATGTTTCTTTTTGTCAGTGGTTTTGAACATGCATACACACATGCACACACTCACTCACACATGCACAAACTCATGCATGCACACACTCACCCACACACATACACACACACACACATGTACACACACACACACTCACATACCGTTCTTTTCAGACTTATTGTACTAGGAGTTCCCTGAGCCTCTTCGACTATTGGACTTATAATTTTCATGGATTTTTTTGATTTTTAAAATTATTAGTATATACTATTTGTACAAAATGATGGATGTGTTCTGACATTTTCACACATGTGTATAATGTTCTTCTTTCATGAATTTTGAAAAAAAAATTGACCATTAGTTCTTCAAGTCTGTTTTTGGCTTCTCAGTGTTTCCCCTACATTTGAATGGCACATGAGGAGGCTTGATGCTGTGTCCCAGCTCCCTGCTTCTGTTCTGTGTTTTTCTCCTTTGTTCATGTTTTTCTGTTGATAGAGCTTTAAATTCTGTGATTTCTTTCCCTGAAACATCGGTGATTTTTGTCTCATAATTACAATGTTCATGTCTAGACGTCTGATGGGCGTTGGCTCTCCATGCCTCCACCTATTATTTTGGAACACACGAGGTCCAGTTTGAGAACCTGCTCTGATGTCTTTTTGTCAGAACCCTGTGTCTGCTCTGTGTCAGTTCCCATGAACTCGCTTATGTCCTCGAGATGCGCTATGATTTCCTGCATCGCTCCATGTCTACTGGTTTTTTGAGTGGATGCTAAGCATTATGGGTTTCACCGGAATGAGTGTTTGGGGCACTTAGGCATGTTTATAAATATTTTTGGAATTTGTTCTGGGATAGAATCGAGTTATTTAGGAAAGTCTGGTCTTTGGGGATCTTGCTTTAAAGATTCCTTGAGAGTCTCAGGCTGTGTATTTCGTAGTTCTGAGCAAAACCTTCAGTTTGTTCTTCTGGTCCTGAGAACAGGAGGAAGAGGCAGCTGGCCCCAGCCCTGTGCAGCTACAAGGCCCTTTCCCTCTGGTGCATTTAACTGGTTCTTCCCCTGATCTTGGGGGGTTTCCTTTGCATGTGCAGAGAGGGGACAACCACCTCACCCCACCCCACCCTCTGCAGCCCGTGTCTTTTCTGTGCGGTGGGCTGTAAACTTCTGCTGCCTGGGTATCCTTGGGCTCCTGATCCCTCTGCTCCCTCAGTCCGGTGAGTCCCTTGGGCTGCTTCTGGGCTTCCCCTCCCCCTTCCTAGGGACTCTATGTAGTCAGCAGGCAATTATGGCACTTATTTTGTTTGTCCCTTCCCTCCCAGGGATTACTGTCCTGGTTACTGAGGCCCAGTGTCTTGCAGGCTAATTTTTTTCTTTTTTCTTTTCTGTGCTCCAAATGCGGAAAGGAGGAGAGAAAGTCAATCTGTATTCTGGAAATGCAAGTCCCCTCCTTTGGTTTACTGCTCCCCAGTTCTCAGCACTGCTGTGCTCTGCCCTCTGTTATTCTTTAAATCTGTTTTTCCCCGTCCACCGTAGCTCTGCTCGTGCATTTGGTCTGAAGTTCCCCTTTCCCTGCGAGGATCTCTGCCTCTTTTTAGATGAGAGCTTGTGTTAATTTTGCTGTGGTATCTTTTTCGTCTAGGTACATTGGTTGAGATTACCAATAGGTAAATTGGTTGAGATTATTGTGTTCTTATTTTCCACCCCTCTTAGCACTGTGTGCCCTTAGTTTTCTATTTTCTCTTCTCTCTGTTTGCCAGTTCACCTGTCTGCCTATTCACTCACCCAGCAAACATTTCTGAGCATCTGTGTGTTCAAAGGTGTTGGTAGCAAATGACACAAAACTGGAGGAGTACTTCATGCACTCAGGACTTACGGTCTAGCAAAGTCAACGGGCAAGTGATTAACTGCAACAGAATGATGTCTCATGCATACACATTAAGAAGAAATGACCGATCCAACAAGCATAGGGTGTGGGCAGGTTCAATAAAGGCTTCAAAGAAGAAATTATGTTGTGTGGAAGCATAGAAGATCATTAGTACATCTGCAACCTCGGTTCTTCAGCTGGGCCACACTTCTGTCCCTACTCCTTCACCCCATTCCAGTTTCCCTTCTTTTAATTCAACAGTTCTCTGAACCCTTCTCCCCCTTCCCCCAAAGATATTTGGAAATGTTTGCAGATGGCATTTTGAGTTGTCCTAACTCAGCGGGCACCACTAGCATCTCAAAGATAGAGGCCAGGAATGTTGGCTGTTAAATATCCCACCGTGAGGAGGTCAGCCACCTCACCTCAGCAAAGAATGATCACATCCCAAATGTCAATAGTGGCAGAGTTAAGAAACAGCCCTGTAATTTAGCAAATATTTATAGAGCACCTGCTATGTCCTACATGCCGCCGAAGCTAGGGAGGTACAGTGGGGAACAGCCTCCAAAGCTTGCGTTCCAGGGGGCGCAAAGAGATGCAGACAATGAAATTATACAGAGTATATCAGGCAGTGGCCAGTGCTGCCGTGAAAACTGGGGCAGGCAAAGAAGCCAAGGTGTGATGTGAGGCTTGCAGATGTTTAAATTGGGCGGTCAGGGAAGATGCTACCAGAGACAGCAGAAACTGGGCATAGGAAGGATGAACATGAGGCCCCATACAGGAGTGTGATGAGCGGGTTCTAGAAGGGGGAGGGAAGTCAGGATGCTTGCAGAGAGTGTGCTAAATCCAGCCCTAGGAGGGGCTGCCCCCATCAGCTGCAGTGTTTGATGTTTTAGACTCCCAAACACCCCACACTTTCCATTACATAGTTTAAATGCTGATGAGAGGAGCCTGAGAAACAGCGTTGCTCTTCCAGAGGATCCTAGCTGGTAGTTCTCCAGTTTCAGAGAAAGTGATGCCCTCTTCCGGCCTCCTCGGCACCAGTCCTCTAATATATAAGGGCCTAGAGGAATGGCTCAATGTTTAGGAGCATTTGTAGCTCTTGCAGCGGGGACCTGGGTTCAGTTCCCAGCACCCACGTGATGGCTCACAACTGTCTGTAACTCTGGCCCCAGGGATCTAACGCACTCCTCAGCCACCACAGGCATTAGGTACATATGTGATACGTGCAGGCAAGTATTCATGCATGTAGAATAATCGTGAAAGCATGGATGTGAGGACAGACCCAGAACCGTGCGTTCACATTCTGTGTTCCGCTCAAGAGTCGTCTGTTTGTGATAAGGCAGCCTGCAGCACTCACTGTATCTATGGCATCTGGCTGGGAGCCAGTACAAAGTTGTCTTTACATCCTCGGTGCACAGCAGTAGAAGGAGCAGAGAAGAGAGTGAGACCCACTCATTCTTCGTATTTTCTCTTTCCATTAGAGGGCTAGAAGCATGATCCCAGGGCTCAGCATAGTGCGGGGCTTGGTGAGCTTAACTGAACAGTTTGGGACCTTGAAAAAGACTCCAGTGAACCAAACTGTTCAGCGTGAAATATGTGATTTTTACCTGATTTCTACCCGCTTTGCATATGTTCTCTCCCATAATCCTCAGGACACTCTTATGGAGTTAGAAATCTGTTATTTCTGCTTTGATGATAAACTGATAACTTAAGGGGTATTGCCCGTGAACTCGCAGCTACTGAGAAAGGGAAAGACTGGATTCAGGCCTAGATCTGTCTGCATTCAAGGCCATGTTCATAGGCGTTACTCTGTTTTCCTAATTATGAATAGGCATGCTTCTTTTGTAAAAAAAAAAAAATCAAAGCACGTTGGAACTTTGTACAATAATTGGCAAGGACCAGCTGTAAATTCTAAGCAATGGCACACTTTTCATAAGACGAGCCTTAGGTTATTGTTAGATTATTGAAGCGATCAACCAATCAATAAACAAGAAAGTACTGTCAACTAACGACCCAGGAATTATGTTACCTTTTCTAGAGTCCTCATAGGCCAAAGCGGGTGAAGATGAGGTACGGAGCCTGGTATCTGAAGACCAACTTGTGGAAGAAGCAAAGAGCGGATGAACCTTTGGTTGATCCCAAGATTTCACACAAAGCTCAGGATGCTAACTTTGAAAAGCATCTTCGGGAGCAGGTATGTACATGTGCTGAGATTTGGTTGTCTGAGTCACGGATGATCACTGCCTGGTTGGGCACAGAGGTTCCCCCAAAGTCCTAGGGCATATGTATCAAAATCAGCAACAGGAAATGCAAGATGAGTTATGTAGCACACTTAGTGAGCAAGACTTGAATTCTGTCTTCATAGTAAGCACGCTGCCTCTGAACTGAGACAGCACGCCTAATGTTTTGTGTTTGAGACAGGGTCTCACTGTGTAGCCCTGGCTGCCCTAGAACTCCATACATAGACCAGGCTGGCCTCAAACTCAGAGATCCTCGTGCCTCCTGAGTGGTGGAATTAAAGGCCTCCGCCCTCAGCCATTGCTACCATTTTGAACAATGTTTCTATGAATGAATGTTTGAAGCGCAGGTGGCCAGGAGGGACCCCCAGAGTGCTCAGAACTGGTGTGATGTCATGAAGTTTCAGGTGACTAAGGGTGGAGCTTGTTTCCTCTCGGCAAGAGGTGACCATCACAGGATCAGGACTGCCCTTGGGACGTTTCATTAGAATCCAGTCGTCACGGAAGCTCTAAGAGAGGGGACAAAAGCTAAACACTTGGAGGTGATGAAGCAGCAAAGCCGCACCACCATGCCGAGGCCCTGTTCTACCGCAGATGAGCGGTGTGCTCGCCTGTCTCCTGTGCACATGCAGCTGCTAGAGCAAAGGTCATCGCTGTTGCTCTGGAAACAGGGAGGTCTGGAAACAGGCACAGTCTCCACCAGACTCTGATGAGCACATTTGTGGGCGGCTTCTCATTTCCAGCAGACCGGGGTGTCTCCAGACACTGGGTGGGAAACCCTGTGCAGATGTGGATACTTCATTAGAAATTTTCTATCAGGCCGCCCTGCAAGTCAGAAAGCTCAGACATATGGTGGGTGATCGTTTTTCTGTTTCCTTGTGCTGGGTATAAAAAGCTGTTTTTTTAGGAGTGAGGTATGCCGTAACTCTGTTAGCACAACATACTTGAATAAACTTCAAAATAATCTAAATAACACTTAGAATTCTGAGTGCATGGTATAGGAGTGCCCAAATGTATGAGAATTAAATTCATAACTAATATTTTATTCTGACAGCAAAAAACTATGTATGGTGTCTGTCAGAGTACTTATGGTCAGTTAATGAACAAGTAGTATCTTTTCTATTTGGGTAATGTGGTTGGTATAATTATTACAGTGATGATTATTCATTAGGAGATCTAGACACAGGGAGGAGTCAAAACAACAGAATTGTTCTACGGCAGTCTTTTCGGAGCATAGTCTTGCATATGTAGTCCAAGCTGGCCTAGAACTCACGATCCTCCCAAATGCAGGGATGACAGGTATGTTGTGCCATGCCCAGCCCGCCGTGGTGTTGATCAGTCGCACTTTCGTGGCACCCAAGGGAGGGTTGAGCCTGTGCACTGCAGGTGCGGCTACAGCGGTCTGTCAGTGGGGAACACCACCATGGCAGTCTTACCGAGAACCCGAGAGTCTTCACTGACCAACTGGGTTTGGGTGGTGAAATGAGCTAAAAGAGTTGAACCCCAGTATGTGGATTTCTACACCCACTCTTTGAGTTCAAATAAATGTAAAGAAAAAAATCAAAAGGATGCTTGACTATCCCGAGGGTTTGGGACCAAAGCAAGTCTGTTTTTGATTATTGTGCCCTTTTAATTAAGCTCTGTAAATTGTGGGGCCACTGAGATGGCTCATTTGCTTCCCTTACCAGGTAAATGTAAAAGTTAAAATTAAAATCTATAAGTGGTGGATAGATTCTCTCATCAGTTTTTAGATATATGAAGTCAAAACTTTTCAACTGCTGAAATCTGTTGCTTACCCTTTATTACAGTGTAAGAAAATAAATGGGCAGAGGGTTGAAATTAGAAGTCTTTGAAAACCCTCATTCCTTAGCTGATGAACCTCAGAGTGAGAAGGCAGTGCCTATGGGCGGGGGGGGGGGGACTTCACAGTGGGGGACCTCACAGTGGCTCCCACCTAGTTCTCCTTTAATCTGCTCTTTTAGGCGGAGCTGCTTGCAGGCCTACACGGAACTGTGGCCTTTAAGGACTTCATTCTAAGCAGGGGTTACAGGATGCCCAGGGTGAGTGAAGAGCTGGTTTGCAGAACCCTGCTGAGTGCTTTGAAGAAGACAGTGGGGATGAGAAGTACCCTAACATAATCGGAGAGTCGTCTCCCAGCACCCTTAAACCTCAGGAAGGATGCAGTCAAATAAAACAATGTTATGAGCCGGGTGGCACATGCCTTTAATCCCAGTACCTCACGAGGTGGTGGTTTACCAGGAAGATTCTAACGTACGTCCATCTTGGGCTGGAGCTTCATCGTGGCTGCTCAGAGAAGAGAGGCATGGTGATTGCCTCACTTCCTTCTTCCTCCCAGCATTCTATTCTGTCTACTCTACCCACCTATGTTCTGACCTATCAGGCCAAGCAGTTTCTTTATTAATTAACCAATGAAAGCAACAGATAGAATATGACCTTCCCACATCATTTTGATAGACATATGACCTTCCCACATCATTTCCCCTTTTTCCGTTTAAACAAAAAGGAAAGGCTTTCACTTTAACATAGTAAAATTAAAAATAACAAAACAGTTATAAAGTAAGAATTACAGTTAAAATATTTATATCTATTTTATCTTTTATCATAACAAAGGAAAATAACTATAACTATCTATCTATTCTTCAACTCCATCAAAGACTCCAGAAGGATATAATATTACCTAAGTAAATGAGAAGTAAGCAACTTACAAAACTCTAGAAGTCATAGAGACATCTCGCTGCCTGGACAGTCACCCAAAGTTCCTCTATACCATTGGCTCTCTGTGAGTTCAAGGCCAGCCTGGTCTACAAAGAGAGTTCCAGAAGAGCCAGAGCTGTTACACAGAGAAACCCTGTCTCAAAATCAAACACAAACAAACTCAGCATTGCTTTCCAGATGGAGCCCTTTGGTCCGTCTTTCTGATGTTTCGAAGTCCACTCTCCTTGGCACCAAAGTGCATGGAGTAGAGTGCACAGTACGTGCCTTGCACAACCTGTTACTAAGACACCCAGACACCCAGTGCGCTCAAACAGTTGAACACTAAGCATAAGGGACCAAAGTCTTGGCTAGCAACAGGCTGTTCACAGCTTGCCATAGGGTCCCTCAGGCTCTTAAGAGGACAGAATAGCCAAGCACTCAAATTGTTAGAACAAGATACCAGATTTCTTTTTCTTTTTTCTTCTTCCATTTTTCTCCCCCCTGTCTCCCCCTTGTTATTGTTTTGAGATAACGTCTTATATAGATATAGATAGCCCAAGCTAGCCTCAAAATCACTATGTACCTGAGCCTGGCCCTGAACTTCAGAGCCCTCTGACCTGTCCTCCAATTACGAGCTGTGTAGGTATATGCCGCAACATCTGCTTGGATTTCTGTTTTCTGAGGGACAGAACTAGTGGTGACTTATGTTTAATGTCAAATAAATGAACACATTGAACATGCTCAGAACCAGCCTGGCTTTGGGTAAATTTAGAGTATGGGATGAAGATTTAGGATTCAAACACTCCATCATAGAGTTCAATGGAGTGTCTCCTGTAGCTCCGAGCGTCAGTGATAGACCACTGGCTAGATTTCCTCTATACTCTACGTATATACTCCATTCATATGCATTTGATAGCTGCTTGATCTGCATAGAAAGTCCACTAAGTTTGTTTATATATATTTTATGTAGAGTATGCAAAATATGCTTATTAATATTTTTATGTTGTGCATTTTATATACTTCTGTGTATTATGTAGGTATATTTGTTTTTGGTGTTTGTTTTAGTGACCTTGAGCCTATGATCCCCTTGTTTCTAACTCTTAAGTGCTGGGGTTACAGACATGTGCCACCGCGCCTATTACTGTGGCCCACTGAGGCCAGAGGAGGACATCAGGCCTCTCTCACTGTTTGCTGTATTCTCTGAAGACAGGGGCTGTCACTTGACCCGAAACTCTTGCCTTGCTTAAGGGGATCTGTGGGAGTGAAGTCTTTAAGCTGGGGCATTATAGCAGGAGGGCTGTGTAGCTTTTCAACAAAAACTTTCTAATGAAAAGATCCTCATTTTTTTTTCTGTAGTTCCTTGAGAAGATATATGCTGTCGAGAAAGGTAGATCTGAAAATATTGAGACTTCTAAGAAACTCACGCCAACAGCGAGGCATCCTGGGAGAAGATGAGGCAGCTTTTATTGACTGCATACTCGGGTTTTCTTCCATTATTTTAATTATTAAGTAGGACATGGTAAGTGCCCACACGGAAACTTCAACCTGGCAACATCTATAAATATAAAACCCGACACAATGTTTCTAAATGGCTTTATGTAGTAATAGGAGCGGCGGGGCTGCGTCCCCAGCACCCTGGCTGCCTGGCTAGCTTATGCCCGAAATAACAACACACAAACTGTATTCATTTAAACACTGCTTGGCCCATTTCTATCTAGCCTCTTCTAGGCTAATTCTCACATATTAATTTAGCCCATTTCTAATCATCTGTGTAGCGCCCCTAGGTGCGCTTACTGGGAAGATTCTAGCCTATGTCCATCCTGGGTCGGAGCTTCATCTCATGCGTCTGCCCAGGAGCTGGGAACATGGCGTCTCTCTGAGGTGTCTGCCCCCGAGAGGAGAGCTGTCGAGTCTCTGAACTCACTTCCTCTTCCTCCCAGCATTCTGTTCTGTTTACTCCACCCACCTATGTTCTAAGCTATGAGCCCAAGCAGTTTGTTTATTACTTAACCAATGAAATCAACAGATTGATATATGACACTCCCACATCAGCTTTAATAGATTTTTGTATTATTTTTAGTAATGTATAGTTGTGTATGCTGCATGGGGGTGTGTACACAAGAATGTAGGGGCCCTCAGTGGTCAGAACTGGTGAGCCCCCTGGAGCTGGAGTTACAAACAGTTGTGAGCCACTGTGTGGGTGTTGGTAATTGAACCTTGGTCCTCTGGAAGAGGTCCTCGGGCACTCCAACCCCCTCAATCAATGTCTTGTTTGTTTGTTGTCTTCTTCAGGCAGAGTCTTGCTCTGTAGTGCAGGCTAACCTCTACTTAGTCACCCCCAACCCCAGAGTAGCCTCTCAGGGCTAGAGTTGCAGCTGCCCACCAACATCCGTGGCTTAGCATTTTGTGTGTTACCAACTATGGAATCTAAATTCATGTAGAGTCTCCTCAAAGTTTTGTGTTATGAAAATTACATAAGTATATTAGTTCTTTGTAAGAATAAAATCATAAGTAAAGGCAAAATCGCTCTTTTTTTTATTGTTATAACTTTGAATGGGCTCCTCTTTTCTTCCTTTATGGTATTATTTTCTTGCATTTTGAGTTAAGCTAACTCTTCTTAGGCCTGTTAGACTTGCTAATAAATGTGTACTTGCAATGGAAGGTCATAGGTCAAAAAATTTAATGGAAAATTAAGCTAACATGTTTTGTTACTTTTTAAAGATAAAAATTTATTCGTGTATGCATTGGCTACTCTCAGAGTCAGAGGAGTCTGCCAGATCCTCTGGAGCTGGAGGCACAGGTAGTTGTGTGTTGCGCTATGTGGGTGGTGGAAACCAAATTTGGATGCTCTGCAGGAGCAGCAACTGTCCTGAACCCTGAACCATCTCTCCAGCCGCTACATTTTGTTACTTTAAAAAATTATTTTTTGGGGGGGGGGCGGGGTTGGAGAGATGGAACGGTGGTTAAGAGCACTGGCTGCTCTTCCAGAGGACCCAAGTTCAATTCCCAGCACCCACAGAGTGGCTCACAAACATCTGTAACCCCAGTTCCAATGAATCTGATGCTCTCTTCTGGTGTCTGTGGGCAATAGGCATGCACATGGTACTCAGACATACATGCAGGTAAAACATCTGTATAAGTATAAAATAAAAATGTAAACTAATATAAAGAACTTTAGAAACTGAAATTATTATTTTTGTATGCATGCTCATGACCATGCATGCGTGTGTGGACAGCACATATGGAGTTCAGAAGTGTCTTCATAAGTCGTCCATATTGGTTTTTGAGGGAGGCTCTCTCACTTGGATCTGAGCTCACCAACTCAGCTAGACTGAGCCAGTGAGCTCTGAGATATGCCTGTTTCCTCCCCCAACACTGGGACTACACGCCAGACCACCATGGATTTCTACGGAGGTGCTGGCAATCAAATGTGGGTCCTCATGTCTGCACAGCAAGCTTTTTGCCAACTCCCCAGGTCCTCCCTCTCGAATTTCAACAGTCTTATGCAGAGTTCCATTTTACGTTTGATTGCTGGTAACACACCTTTGGTTGAGAAGAAAGGTTTTGAAAAGTGTGTATACATGACGTGGTGGGAAAGAAACACAACATCAATACAACAGTAGCCATTTCCCCAACTGGCGGGGAGGCGTAATTTCTCTACTATCTTCCTCATCCGTTTCTCATCCTTCATGCTTGTTTCTTTAGACAACCATTTGGCTGAGGGATCTCTTGCTTGGTAGAATGGCCCGGACTTTTATCCGCAAAGCGCCTGTGCCTCCATGATTTTTACACTGGAGTTTTTAATACTAGACACAGTGGGACCCCAAGGGCCCCTCTGATTTCCATGACTCTCGTCAATTGTTTTCCTCATTGGTGAAGTTTCACTGATACCAGAATGTTCTCTCCAGTTCTTCATGAACCCAGTTAGTGATGATTGCTGCCAAGTCCATCCTAATATTGCTGTTTTCTGCTGGTGGGTGACTTTTCTCAAGTTTTCATACCCACAGCTCAGTCCCCGGGCTAAGGAACAGTTGTTCCAGTGGTCATCAAGGGGGCGCTCCTGATGTCACCCCTCACACTCACTCAGACCTGCATAGCCGGAGTACAGGACAAAGAGTAGGTGTTGGTTCAGTGTGGACAGCCATTGCTCAGGGTCTGGGTGGCACTGGCTCCAGGTCTCTCTGAAATCTGCTTGCTCTCAAGTCCCTTACACACAATGACACTGCATATGGCCCGCCCTGCACATGGAATCATCGCTACGTTACAGCACAATGCAAGTTAAGAAATCGTTGTTACACTGTGCTGCTTAGGGAGTAATGAGAGGGACAAAAACTCGGTTGGTGTTCAATAAGGACAAAAATTGCTTGAATATTTTCAATTCTCTTTAACCATGAGGGTGCAGAACGCACAGGTACGAGTGTGCAATGGCACTACACTTCAAAAGCATTGTCTCTCAAGTGAAGGTTGAGTCTGAAGTAAGCTTCCGTGGGCACCGTAGTGCCAGCTATTGCTTTCTCCTTTACTATAAAAATAATTTCTGCACTTTGCATAAAAGCTCCTGACTGTATTCCAGAACTCCAGAGGCCGCAACAGAAGAAATGCCAGGAATTTTAGACTGATGTGGTCTGAAGGTTGAGACCTTGTTCTTTTCCAAATTACCAAGTGATGGTGAAGATGATGATAGTGATGATGATGAAGACGATGATAGTGATGATGATGAAGATGATGATGGTGATGATGAAGATGGTGATAGTGATGATGATAGTGATGGTGATGAAGATGGTGATAGTGATGATGATGAAGATGATGATAGTGATGTTGAAGATGATGATAGTGATGATGAAGATGGTGATAGTGATGATGAAGATGATGATAGTGATGATGATGAAGATGATGATAGTGATGACTATGGTGATGATGGTGGTGGTGATGGCGATGATGATGATGAAGATGATGATGATAGTGATGATGATGAAGATGATAGTGATGATGATGAAGATGATGATGGTGATGATGATGATGATGATGGTGATGATAATGAAGATGATGATGGTGATGGTGATGATGATAGTGATGATGAAGATGATGATAGTGATGATGATGAAGATGATGATAGTGATGACTATGGTGATGATGGTGGTGGTGATGGCGATGATGATGATGATGCAGGTAGTGATGTTGATGATGATGATAATAGATCAAACAAGTTTCTTCATTAGAGCCACGGTTGAGTGGGAAGCCCTGCTGGTGAATAAGCACTCAGTAAGTCTATAAATGTTGATGTGGGTGGATGTCTGTGAAGCAAGCTAGCAAATCTAAACCCAGAGAAACTCTGAGCAAAAGATAACTCATTACTTCCTGCTGAAGACTACTTCAATCCGCAGCCATTATGGTCCCTTCTACTGTTCTTCCCACTGTACAGGGTAGAAAGCTGAGGGTTACATTTCCCAAAGTCATTCATGGTTGCACTCATGCAATAGCCTCACATATGTGGAAGCCCACAGGTGGCACCAAAAGGAAAATGGGTTTGCTGAGAACCAGTGGAGGAGGCACCCAGTCCTACCTTGGGTAGGGTTTTGGCACCCAGTCCTACCTTGGGCAGCGTTTTGGCACTCAGTCCTACCTTTGGACAGGGTTTTGGCATTCATTCCTACCTTTGGGCAGGGTTTTGGCACCCAGTCCTACCTTGGGCAGGGTTTTGGCACCCAGTCCTTTCTTGGGCAGGGTTTCGCATTCAGTCTTCAGATTCTGGCATTTGGTGATGAGCTGTGCCACTCTGGAGAGAATCCACATCTTTCCAGCGATATCTTGTCCCTGGCTTTGCTGCACTCGGGCCTGGTCCATTTCAGGTTCCCACGACTGGTTTCAGTTGGGGGACAGCTATCTTAGAGTTTCTATTGCTGTGATAAAACAGCTAGATCAGAGCAGCTTAAGGAGAAAGGGCTCATTTCAGTTTCTAACTCAGGTTACACTCTATCACCAAGGGAAGCAGGGGCAGGAACTCGAGCAGGGCAGCAACCTTGAGGAAGGAGCGGAAGCGAAGGGCATGGAGGAATGTCACATACTGGCTTACACTCCTTGGCTTGTTCGGTCTACTTTCTTTTACTGACCAGGACCACAGTCAAGGGGTAACCCTCCCACATCGATCATCAATCAAGGAAATGCATTACAGGCTTGTCCAAAGACCAATATGGCGGGGCTTTTTCTCAGCTGAGGTTCCCTCTTCCAAACCAAATGATTCTAGCTTGTGGCATGCTGACACAAAACTTGCCAGCACATGGCTAAACATCCAACAGAAGCTGCAGCCAAAGTGGCTGTGATGAGGGAGAATCCAAGTTGCCGAGCGCATAGGTAGTCTGTGTTCATGAGTCACTGGGCGATACTAGAATGTCTGTAAATAAAAGTGACTGAAATATAGAAGATAAATCAATACTTAAAAATTATATTATATAAATTTGAATATTATATATGTAATATATATAATATAATTGAGTACAGGTACCTTCAAAGGCCAGGAGAGGGATCCCTTGGAACTGGACTTCCAGGTGGTTGTGGGCTACATCATGTGGGTGCTGGGAACGGAACACAGGTCTCCAAGAGCGGCACACGCTGCTGCCGAGCCATTGGCTCAGCTGTTCACTGATTATTGGATACTTCCTGTAGAGGGGAGCCTTTTGATTGTGTCACAAAGAGGTGAA